GGAGAGGAGGAAGAAGGAAGGAGAGGAGGAAGAAGGAAGAAGGAAGGAGGGGAGGAGGAAGGAAGGAGTGGAGGAAGAAGGAAGGAGAGGAAGAATAGGAAAAATAAAGTAGTAGCAAGGAGGCTATGTTAAAAACCCGCGTAGGGTTGACATGGGAATAAAGTGTATAATATATATATATATATAAATGCACACAGTTAACAATAAATATATCAACGATAACAATATAATTATATAAGTAGCAATATCAAATTGTTTGTATGAACAACAATTAACAAATTATTAACAATTAACAAATTAACAGCAACGATAAAAATAAAATCATATTTTCATATCAGTAGTCAGAAATTGGATAGCTTAGTATGAATAAACTTTGTTACAGCAATCTTTGGATTTTGAATATTTTAAATATACACCTCCGGCTTGTAACTACCACAAACCGGGAAAGTTTGTGGTACCGGTGGCATATTTGATTCATCACCTACATGAACAACTACGTCCATACCTGATACCGTATGCCATAAGAAATGACAATGAAATAGCCACCATCCTATAATAATAATAATAATAATAATAATAATAATAATAATAATAATAATAATAATAATAATAATAATTAGTTGAATTAATAAAACAAAATTAATCAAAGTATCAACTTCAAAGGTTTTCATACCTGGATTATCCGTATAGAAACGTATAATCGCGCAACCTCCAACCGGTATTTTAATGGTATCTTTTCTTGCTTGTTGATTATATCTACCACTTCTAAGACCTGCGTCGTAGTCTCGAAGGAATTCACTTCGTTGTGTCAGATTGGGTTTACTACCATTAAATTCTCTTATCGCCATCACCTGGAAACTGTAACCGTGTAAATGGAAGGGATGATGTAAGCCTTGACTCGCATCTGTAATATAAATGTTTTCAAATGTTTTTACAAATTGTTTAGAATTATGAATGAATATTATAATCCTACGTATATCGATAGGCCTCTTTGGCTATAAAAAAAAAAAATGATAAAAATCTTATGCATAAGTTAACGAAATGATATTGTTCTTACCTACATCACATAGCAAAATTTCAGCTAATGAATTGTAAGGAATATTTAGAACATGTGTGCAGAAGCACGGTGTTGTACAAGTAGAAACTTTCTCAGGACCGCAAAGCTGTTCGTAACCGTTGTATTGCGATATTGGTGGTGAATCTGGTTCAGAATAACTGATATTGGAAACTAAACTTGTTATTACAGTCCTATCATTGGCAACTGAAAATAAAAGTAATATATATATATATATTTCATTAAATCATTAGGTTCGATTTAAAAATTAAGTTTGACATATTTTATTTGACTTACTAAAGAACCTATCTTCAGAGTTTTGAGCAAACATTGATTTTTTGTATTGAAAGAAATTGAAAGGTAAGTAAAAACGAACATCCGGGAATGTTTTTCGTTCCGTTTGGGGTGTATTTTTCGCGTACTTTAATTGATTTATACAAATGCGATTTGTCAATGTTTGACTGCCACAATCTCTGCCAGTTAACGAATTCAATTCCTGAAAATAAATTTCTAATTGAAACTCAATAATAAAATAAATATATTATCAAATAAATGCATACACTTACAATGTCAGTATTAGTGCTTATAGGATTATCATAAGTAGGTCTAGCTGCTTGCGGTAAAACTACTTTGTTGTCATAAACGAGTACAGCTAATTGGGAAATTTTTAAGGCCGCACATTCATCAAGACCTCGCAATTGAATCCAATATGAACTGCTAGGTTGATTGGCGTTCAAAACAAAATCATAACGTTCACCTATCGAATATAATTTTTAAATATAATATATTATACTATAAAAACATGAAAATACGTATCGAAATTCAATGCAATTATTTTCACCTGTAAGGCTAATAATTTTATCAACTACCACTGGCTGTATATCTTCACCGTCAGTTGCAATTACAGTTAATTTGTGATTTTGTATAGAGAATTCTGACGCACATACTGTGCCAAATGAATTGATCATTCGGAACCTGTATCTCTTACCGCTAGCAACGCTAAAGTATGCCAGTTGTGTATTACTTGTTGTACCTGTATTTGGATCCTGCATGTTTTTTTATAATAACAAGTATATTATTATATGATAATAGTTAGATACAACAACAACAACAACAAAATAAACATTATAAACAATATCTACCGTGTACTGTCCTAGACCATTAATAAGAAAATTATCAGGAGTTTGACCAGGCTTCACAGCAAATGTTCCAGGTAAATGTTCTATTGCTAATGAATGCATCCAATCGCTCAAAAATATCACGTGATCAAATGTATCTTCGTCGTACAAATTTCTATTAGGATCCTGACTCTTAGGCGAACGTACTATCAAAGGTCCCTGTTGTCCATCCATCATATATAATGCTGAGTGAGAATGATAAAAATGTGTTCCAGCATTTTCCACACCAAATTGGTATCTTAAAAAAGTAATGAAATTAAAAAATTAAATTATATTCAATAACGAATTATTATCCATGATCTATTACTTTTAAATGAAAAATAATCTAGAAATTGTACCTAAATGTATTAGGTGCTGAAATTGGACATTGAGTTATGTGAGGTACACCGTCATAATATTGATAATTCTTTTGGAAAACTCCGTGCCAATGGATTGTTGTATCTGTACCTTCTGCTGCATTTTCTACGTCAACTATAATTTTATCGTGTTGACAGACCTATGAAATAAACAAAATAATGAGAATACTTTTGTAAGGTAATTTAAATACATTTTTATATTTGATACTTTGATTAACTACTTTACTTTGTTTTCGAATAAATAAAACAAATCTGTATTGAAAATTTATATTTATATTATTCCAAATTATATTATTTTGTTTGTTTAATAATTTACCTGTATACTTGGGCCAGGAAATTGACGATTGATTGAAAATATAGTTTTTTCATAGCCATCTCCCGTGATACATTCACAAGCCGATTGATTCTTTGATCTCTCAAAACTGTTCGTTCGACAGATGTTGCAAGGACTACAGAAAATTATTAAACATTTTTATAAATATCACAAACACAAGATGATATTAAACACTTTTTTAATTTTTGAAGTGAAAACTTCTTTAGAATGGGTGTGATTTGAAAAAATGAAACGCGTTGATGTAGTGAGAAAACAAAATCGGGATGTAGTGGGGAAAGGAAACGGACAAATTAAAAGTACAAATAATATTATAATAATATTATATAATAAATTATATCCTCGAAATTTGCTCATTTGAAGGTTTCACTTCTGACTTGTGTGATATGCATAGATATATTTTTTTAAAATTTTAAATGTTTTCACACACACCGCTGCTTCGTGATTGATCTATTTTGTTCACTAACCAGAAGACGTTATTTATACCGCATTGAATTAAAATAGAAATATCTTTTAATTATTAAACAAAAAATATTTGTAAAGTTCATACGTTGCCATGGTTGTAAAATATTCCAATTTGAAGTGATAGTAACAATAAAGTGGTTGTGCTCCATCACAGTCACGAAAACATTCCTTTGGTGTCGATAAAACAACCGGTTGATTTGTGGCCCTTGCAGTTCTTATAGGCTGTACTGTCGTTTGGTTCCTCTCTAAAATAAAAAAATTACAAAGAAAAAAAAACAAATTAATAAAATATAATAAATGTTTATATTAACACACCAAATTACCCAAAGAAGTCATTTTGATTGCTTCTTAATTTCGTTTAGAAAACAATTATATTTGATATTGTTTAGATAAAAATTATATCATATCTTTATAAATGAATATTTATAAATGTTTAAATATTTATATAATATAATTTTATAAATAAATATTTATATATTCATTTATAATGATATGATTTCTTAGTTTTTTTGTTATTTTGTATATATATTATAAATGCATTTATTAATATTTTATTTACCTCTCCACCCTCTTTTTATTTCTGATATATATATATATATATTACTCAAAAGCATTATACATATATTACATATAATTACATATATGTAAAATACAATATATTACATATAAAATTATTTTTACTATGCGCTTGTGGTAATATTTAATTTAATTAATTTTATTATTGAATTTCAAAAATTTTATTTAAAAATCACAGAGAGTTTAAAATTTATATTTTTTTCCCTTCATTATTTTCTCCAAAATAATGTAAAATGAGAATTATTTCATACTCTGATGAAGAAACTGAAAACACCTTTCATGAGATCGAAATTACTGCTGATGGTACCGCGTGCGGTCAAAATTTGATGAAGATGGTATTTCTGGCAGATTACCATTTGCATGTATCTTTAAAGATATGAATGAATTAAAAGAATACGCGAAAATGAATATTTTGACGGATAATATTGCCAGTGTATTTTTGTTAATAATATATAATTATATGATGAAGCACATACACAGAAATAGAAATATAATGAATGAAGTACTTTGTTGTTTTCTAAGTAATGTAAATTTTCTTTATAATAAAAAATAAAACATTATTATTAAGTTTAATTGTAACTGTATTTCCTTAAATAAAAATTTGAAATAAAAAAAATTATATTTTTATATGACTAGATATTATATATGATTATTAGCGCGTAGATATATTACATCTATATTATTTATAATATATAATAAATTACATTGTATATAAAATATATTTATTATATTATTATATTTATATATCAAACACCGAAATAATTTCAATTACGAATATTTGTAATTTCATTGAAGTTACAAAAAATACAAAGTAAAATTGTTAAAACTTACGATTACATTGGATCTCGGTGGAAATTAATAAGACGATGAAAGGAAGGATTAAACAAGTATTTAATAAATTCGACATGTTGAATGATTTTGTTCAAATGTCACTAGTACATTTTTCGGTTTAGTTTTTATATGAATGGTTATGAATAATTATTAGAAATGTGCATATTATTATTACGAATAATCGTTTAAAATTATCTAAAATATTTCCGGGTTTTAATCTATTGATAAAAAAAAAAGATAAAAAAATAAAAAACAATATTTCTTCGAAGTAAACACATTTATATTGATAAGCATGCTATTTATTTATTTATATATATATATATTTTCCAAACAATTATAGCTTATCTATCCATATTTACATATTTGTTTCCAAAAAACGATAGAAAAAAAAAGAACCTAATATCTTATACGTTTACATAGAGATTTTGGTTAATGTGTTAAAACTTACCGTTTTTGTAAAATATTACATTATTATAATACGATACATGGAATATCATTAATAAATGATAAATAACGATCATTAATTCAACATTATTCAAATAAATATAAATTAGGCAAGTGCTATCGCGTTTATTGTTTGCATAAGGAAGAACAAAAAATAATAAAGATAGGAGATATTTGAATATAATAATTTCCTTCTTATGACATAGCATATATTTTCATTATATCCTTACAATGGATCGTATATTGCATAGCAATTATTACACAGAAATCACGATACTTGTATTTTATTCTCATTTTCTTCTTTACTTTGTCTTTTACCTTATTAATTATAAATTAATTCTACACGCGCGCACAAATATTGGTATTATAATGAATTTTATTTTATACAAAAAGATATTACATATTGCATGTGTTAAATTATTTTTCATAGTTTCTTTTTCTCTTTCAGCTATCTTTTTTCTTCTTTTTCTCCTTCATCTTTTTTTTATGTATTTTTTTTCCACAGATATAATTATTTCACGATGTGATGTTTTCATGTTTTCATATATATATATATATATATATATAATTAATGAAAAAAGTTTGGTAAGACGTACAAGAAAATTATTTTTTTCAATTGGAAAATAAAACGTCTCACATCTCTTCGCATAAAATGCAATTATTATTATTATTATTATTGTTATTGTAAGAATTATCACGACGATCTAAGATATTTTTTACCAATGCGTGTAAAGTATAAAGTCCACCGAAATATCTTAATGTTATCTTGCATATGTTGCTATTCAATTCGTATACAAGAACGGCAACATTTCCTTTTTATTCTTCCAAGAAGAAATATTGTCCAGCTCTTTTCTGTTCTAAATCCTATATAAATAAATAAATAAATAGATAAATAAAACAAATAAAAAATATTTATATTAATAATATTCTTATGAAAAATGTAATAATAATAATAATAATAATAATAATAATAATAATAATATATTACCCATACCTTAACTGATTGACTCTTATTAATTCGTGGTCTGAAATTATTAGGATCCCTTCGGAAAGTAATACCCAATAATTCTAAGAATCTGTTCATACCATTCAATAAAGATTGCGGACTATGTGCAGTCGTCTTCAAAGAAGGTGTACCAGAGAATACAATAACACGATCAGCTAAATAAGTTGCCATAATAAAATCGTGTTCTACTACAAATCCTGTTTTCTTTGCGTGTAATATAAACCTAAAATATCAAATTGAAATTAAAATCGCTTTATCTAAATTCTTGAATAATTAATTTTCTCTTATATAATATAGACAAATGAAATTTTAATTATAAATATACCTTTTAATAACCTTAGCAGCTACCAAACGTTGTTCGGAATCTAAATATGCTGAAGGTTCGTCGACCAAATAAACATCTGCTGGTTTACCAAGACAAAGAGCCATGGCAACACGTTGCAATTCACCACCAGATAAATTTTGTACTTCTTGATCCATGATGTCATCAATTTTCAATGGTTTCATCACATCGGTTACAAATTGAGGATGAATGTAAGCATCTCTAATCTTATCGTGTAGCAATTGTCTCACAACACCTTGAGACTTAGGACTGATCTTTTGTGGTTTGTAACTTATATGCAATTGTGGAATACTTCCTGAAATATAAAAAGAAATATTAATCATCACTGTTAAAACAAACGTTTCAAATAAATAAATAAATGTATAAAATTGATCTCATTGAAATTATATATTATACCTGATCCATCATCAGGAGGTAAATTTCCTGCTAACATTCTAATGAATGTTGTCTTTCCAGTTCCATTTTCTCCTAATAGTACAAGAATCTCCGAATCCGTGAATTGTCCTTTTTCTACATGCAATGTAAAAGAATCCATGGTTTTGACCATAGCTGGATATTCATAATGGTTCATACGCTTAACTTCCTCTTCAGTTGCACTTTCAGCAACCTTAAAAACTAAAGATTCCTCACGGAATCTCAAATTTTCCGTAGGAACGAACCCATCCAGGAATATATTTATACCTTCTCGTACGGAAAAAGGCATAGTAACGACACCATAAGCACCGGGAACGCCATACAAACAACATATAAAATCGGACAAATAATCTAATACAGATAAATCGTGCTCTACCACGATTATAAATCTATAAATAAAAAAGAAGATATTAATTTTATGTTGAAAATATATTAGAAATTTTTCTGATTTGCATTTTATGATTAACTTACTTATCTGGATGAATTAGAGATCGGATAGCTACAGCTGCATTGAGACGTTGCTTAACATCTAAATATGAAGACGGTTCATCGAACATAAAAATATCACCATTTTGAATGCACACCATAGCACAAGCAAAACGTTGAAGTTCTCCTCCTGAAAGAGCCTCGACACCTCTATCAAGTATATGCATTAAATCTACAATAAAAATATCAATACATTAGAAAAAAAACACACACACAATAATTATTATACTTTATTTTAATGTAATAAAAATAAATACCCAGCATTTGACAAATTTCTACTTGATTTTTACATTCATCTTTTTTATCTAAAAATTGTTGAACAGTTCCTCTTAATGCTTTAGGAATTTGATCTACATATTGAGGTTTAATGAGAGCCTTTAAATCATCTTCAAGAATTTTGGTAAAGTAATTTTGTAATTCGCTCCCCCTGAAATGACCTAATATTTCTGTCCAGTCCGGTGGATCCTAAAATATTATTTCATATTAACATAATGCAATTATATATAAAATAAAAACTTATTATATATATATATATACATATAACAAGATTAGGATACATACAGAAAATCGACCTAAATTTGGTTTTTGTTTTCCTGCCAAGATTTTAAGGGCCGTGGATTTTCCAATACCATTCGTACCGACTAAACCTAACACTTCACCAGGACGTGGTATAGGAAGTCTATGTAATTTAAATGAATTCTTGGAATAACGATGCGTCGTTTCTTTTTCTAAATTACTAGGAAGATTGATAATGGAAATGGCTTCAAATGGACATTTCTGAAAAAATAAGCCATTCATTTAGACACTATGATTAAATAACAAATCTAGATTATTGTTAGAGATAAGTATATCTACTAATTGTTAAAGATGCTGAAAATGAGAAATATTTCATTCAAAAAAAAAAACAAAATTGATTATATTTCTATTTACCTTCACGCAAATACCACATCCGATACACAATTCTTCAGAAATAGATGCCTTCTTACTGTATGGAGTTACTTCTATACAAAGTTTCCCCATTCTTACTACAGGGCAAGATCTTTTGCATTCTTGTCGACATCTTTTAGGTTTGCACTTGTCTGAATTTACAATAGCAATACGGGTTAACCGATCAGTCTCTTCCATAGACTTTTTTGGCGGCATGATGTCAAAGATCTACTTGTCCTTATACTGTTAAACAAAATATTTCAGATATTTTCTATATTTAAGTATTGAAATTTATAATTATATCATTAAATCCATTAATATTCTTCTCTAAGGACAATGAATAATTAATTATTCATTTGAGAAAATTACCTAACCTATATAATATATATTATTAATATTAATGTTAATCATTATTAAATTGATGATATTTTCAAAAATAAATTGAGATAATTATTTTATATACATTAGAACATATTTTTTACGCCTTAATGGAATTTTAATGATTACAAAAATATGTTAAGCATGTTGCAATATAAAAACTAAAAAACTAATTAAGATTAAACAGATGTACTGTTTATAATCTAAAATATTAATTGCTGAGAAAGAGTAAATACTTTTTTTTATCGATATTACAAAAACAATAAATTATTATTAATGATTAATTATATCTGTAGAAAAGAAAATCTGTTAGCTTCTAATCATTAAATTCTAACCTCACTTAATTTCGTATAAAATATAATACTCATAAGATATCATTAAAATATATGATTAAAAAAATGATAGAAAATGTATTATTATTTTATAATTATATGTAATATTGATTAAAATGTCAAAATATTAAAGATATTAAAATATACCTGTTAAAATGAAGAACGTGGATGTGACTCCTTGTTGAGCTTTTCAAAGGAGTTCTGAACTTTCACGTTACCAATGGTTCGACTGAAACCATTAATTGCAGGAATCATAGATGGTATTTGTTGTCCAATTTTTCTTTTATCTTCAAATAATATTGACACAATAATGAGCAATGATAAGTGAAACAATAACTATACAATATATGATCTAAATGATTTAATTCAATCGAATTAAAAGTCAATAATGATAGTTGATAACATTTACAGGAATCTGCCATACCGATAGAATTTGTTCTATAAAAAAATAAAAAAAAAATAAACATTATGAAATAAAAAATATTTTTGCGTTTGCAGTGAAAACATTATTCGTATTATTTTTAATATTGATAATATTTATCGAATAATTCTCTTTATTTAATAAAATATTGTAAATTAACAAATATTATTACAAGCGAATGCATGTGGATGCATAAACGGATATAATAATGTCAAATTAAATAAAAAATAAAAGAGATATTAATTTTGGAAATATTTCTAAATTTACTTAGGTGTTATATTTGTAATATAAATTATCAATTAAAAACATTAATTTTTGTAAAACAAATATGCCTATCTGAAGAATAGAAATTCTTGTTTGATGTTTTCATAGATTGCCACTTGGTGTCAGTGTTCAATATATTACTAACCATTCTTAAAAAAAAAACGTAAATATTTTTTCTTGTTAATTGATATAGAGTGTTAAGTTATAAACATTTTAAATCTGTAAAAGAAAACAGTTACCGCGAGTTAACAGAACATTTGTTTAATAGATCAAAATGTGCATCGTATTATGTATCATATATTTGATTAAATGTTTATATGTGTGTCCAACATATAAATAATTTTTTATTATAGAAGAAAGAGACATTGAAAGAGAGAGGGACAGAGAAAGAAAGTAAAAGAGAAGGGGATAGAGAGAGAAAGAGAAATTAAAATGGTCATTTATTAAGTAACAATTAAATGATAATTTTAAATTAAACATGAACATGACAGCAATGAAATCGATGGATATAACATTGCCATTTACATTGAAGCAAGAAAAAGAGGTTAACGAAGCTGAAATAGACGAAGATGCTAGTTTGAATGAACTCGACAAGATCCTTCCTATGACACTACCATCAATAACAGACAACAATTTTCTGTTACCTTCTACTCCCAATCATGAATTCTTACGACTTACTGCAATGGCATGTTTCATTTTATTATAATATAATTTTTATTATATAAAAAAAATATATAAATACACATAATATATTATTATATAAATATATACATATATAATGTGTATATATATATTTGTATATATATTTATATGTATGTGTATATATAAATATAAATATAGAGGTATGAGTATGTTTGAAATTAATTTCAAATATTTCATATATTGAATAAAATTAAAGACGAGGTGTATATATTTGAAACAGGTACGTGCAGTGTACTTCTCGTATCTACACGAATGTTTATTGAATAATTACATAGTATGTTACAAACAAAAAAATCAAGAAGCTCAAAGTTACGAATTAAAAAAATGCGCAGATCAAATGGAATTGGATGCCGTTAGATGTTCTTTAGAAGCTTCTTTGTATAGACAACACATGTTTAAAATGGTAAGATATACCATTGAGAAGAGACATTATTTACAAGTCTGTAATCATTTTTTTAAAGATTTCAGATATTAAGTCCCATACTTCACAAAAAAAAGTGTATAAACAGTTAGTGATGCTATTAGAAACACCATCTAATAAAGTTGATGTTGGTGTACAAACTAATAGTTCATGTTTAAAAACTAATTCCTGTGATCACCGTAAAATAAATACTATGCAAGACGCTTGCATTACATCTAATTATGAAGAATTATTTAATGCGACGGAACTATTATCTGTAGATAAGAAGGCACCCCCTTGTATAGAAGAATCAAACATTTCCATGCAAGACAATGCAAGCGTTAAAACACTTGTATTTAAAGAAGAGATTACTGATAAATTAATATTTAACGAGGAAAGTCAAGAAACAACTATTTTAACTCAAATACTTTCAACTGATAAATTTGTTCAGCAACCAACTGTTGAGCCTGTCGATAAACATGATGATATCTCGCAAGATTCACTTTTACAACATATGGAAGATATGTTTTGTGAGAGTGATGACAGTAGTGATTTGACAACATTAATCGAAAAACATTCAGGCATAAGTAAGGCTAGTGTTGACAATGAAATCAGCAAAATGAGTTTGGAAACGGATAACCCGTTGATTTCTAATTTAAAACGTGTAGAAGAAAGCAATAATATTCCAAAGAGTAATAATACTGTAAAAATGTCTTCTCCTGCTCAAGGAAAATTTAGTTTTAGTTATTATAAGGAAATGAAAAGTAGAGTGGATAAACCACCAACTGAACTTAATAAAGAAGATACAACTGTTAAGTGCAAACAAGAACCTACAAATGAAAATAAACAAAAGAAAAGAGCGGATGGTATTTGGTTTGTCGAAAGAGTACATCAAGTTTCTAAATTAAAAAGAAAATTGACCGAATTATCTTTGACAAATTATCGTAAACATGGTAGAATTAAAAGAAAATTTATTGAATTGTTTGGAGAATCTGACGAAGAAGAAATGATGCCTGATTCACCAATTTGTATAGAAGAACATTTAACTGCTTGTAAAGAAAGAATAGCTCCATGGATTGTCAAATATCTAATGCCATTCTATAAAAAAAGACGAATCAAAGATCGCCAATTATTTAAAGCTGTAGCTAAGCATATTGCTGATATGCTTATCATTGAAAATACATTTCCTGGTAAGATATTATTTATTTATATTTAATCTTTTGACTGCAAATAGTGCCTTTAGGCATCTAATGAAAGTTGGGGTACGACTGATGTGATATTTTATTTTTGAGTACTCAGCAGTTGAAAAATTAAATAACATTTTATCTCAATTTTTATAATCATTCCTATCTATATTATAATTTACTCTTCATTTTTAATTTTCAGAAGAGAGCTGTGTTAACAAGTACATAGAAAATTACTTCCGAAATAGGCAACTCATTAAGACCAGTCAAGATATATATATATAATAAAGACATATGAATTACCCATTTCTGACGTAGATTAGAACGAAAATGAAACACAATTACAGATCAATTATTATCTATAGCAATATGAACTTAAATTATTTTTCTTTTTTGTTTAACAAGCATTAACCATTTTAAAGTTTTTATTGAAAAAATTTTAACGATATTTTTTCCCTTTAAGAGACTGATAAATAAAAAAGTATGTCTTAAATTTTAGATATATTATTAATTTAATACTCATTCTTATTTTAAAAAAAAAAAAGAAAAAAAAACATAATAAAAATAAAGGAAAGAAAAGAAATTGTTTTTTCAAAAACTCATTAATATTTTTTGTGCACAGATAATAGTTGTAAAGGTAGGCTTATGATATTAATAATTATTAAATAATTAAAGACTGAAGTGTTATTGTGTGCCCATTGATTGTACCTGCTTAGATTCCATATTGTTATATTCTAAATATTTATGAAAAAATAATGTTTCATGCAAACAATAAGGTTGTCTTTTAACACAAAACTCGTATAATACACGAATTTGAAAAAAATGTGGCCATTGTATAAAAGTCAATAATTTTACTCTTAATTTTCAAACAATATCAATGACAATAATCGTAATAGTAATAATAGTAACAATAATTACTTTATTTCATTTGTGTTCGAAACGAAAAATTCAAACACGACAAAAAGATTCAGAATATTTAGATGTACAAATGTTTTTCAAGAATATTCCTTTTAGCAAATAGATATATTATATACTATATTTATATTAATATTTATTATTATTATTATTATTATAATTATTTAAAAACTCAATATTTTGATTTAAATTATTATTTAGTTACTAATTAAAAGGAAAATTCGTATTTTAGAGTTTTACACCTTTGTACATAAATTATTTGAGAAAATAGATTCGTACAAGTTGTCCATGAAAATATTCATTGGTAGAAACAATGTTAAAACTCAAAAGTTATAAAGAAATTAGAAACAACAAGATATGTTGCAATAATTTCATTACTTAAGAGTGAGAAAGTTTTTTGTTGAGAAATTTGCAGGTAGTTTATCCAATAAAAGTACGAAAAAGCAGATTTGGATCAACTATTATTATATAATTATTTCTGTTTTGCACTTTTCTACCGAGCAACTTGTACATAAATATTATTATTATTAATTTTTATTCTTTTTTTTTTTTTTAATCTTTTTTAATTTCCATAAGCCATATTTTAATGAACAGAAATTTGTGCATCATTTATTATGCAAAAGTGTAACAACGCTGTGTGTTGCGTTTTATACATGCACAAATTCTGTCTTTCTTTTCTTTTTCATTTATTATTATTATCATTATTATTATTATTATTATTATTATTTATAGTGATTCACCTTAATAATTCATTTTTTGCCTGATGTGTAGATTATTATTGTTGAGATCGTTTATAAATTCTCTAGAAAGTTAACTTAATTAAGTTAACTAATATTTCAATTTTTTGATAAAAGATCCTTCACACATTAATTTGAAAAAAAAAAAAAAGAAAACGATTTAAACATAACTATTACAAAATCAAGATACTTGATTAAACATCACAGGACTAAAAGCTCAATTATATAATATGAAAAAATATATATACATATACATATACATAAACCATAAACATATATACATATATGTATGTATATATAAAGAAGGATCTTTCCGAATCTCTCAATGAAACATTATTATTAAAATAATGAAATATGGCTTAAATATCAAAGACTGGGTGAAATATACTTGTGAATTAGTCTTAACATTATTACTTATGTATTACGTATTTTCCCAGGTACGTAGTTCTTGTCTATTACAGGTTCTTGCAGAAACAAATGTAAACATCGTTCGTTCTGTGCTAACGGATGTCCAGCTATTCTAAAACATTTAATATTGAAACTTATAGATGTATTCAATTTTAGTACAATTAAATATATAAAATATTAATTGATAATACTTACTTATTAACAAATATCTCTAAACCTTTCCTTCGGTCCTCAATAAAATCTTCCTCAAAAATTCCATCATCTCCTCGAAATGGCATTTGACGTTTCCATGCCTTTCCAGGTAATGGTGGTACAACAATCTACAATTTAAATAAAAAATATAATATATAATATTATAAACCTTGAGTAAAGAGAATATATTAATCGATTGATATACCTTGCTGTCCCTTTCCAATTCGTTTCTCAGCCATTCAAAATCGCTGTATCTTCTTCTGACCGTCGAGTCTTTGACTTTAAAGACGGGTAGGTTTGTCTTTAAAATAAGAAAAGAAAAAAAAGGAAAGAAAGAAGAAGAATTTAGAAGACATAAATATATATACAGGGTGTCAACATATTCTATACATAAAGAAAAGTAAAAAAATATTATATAAATATAGGTCATTTAAAGTTTTATTCTAAAATTATAATATCAATTATAGATATGTTCACATTTATTTACTCATCACTGTCAATGTTTATCTATGCTGTTTACTATTTCAAAATGATTTAATAAATTTCAATCGATATCACAATTCTCTTTAAATTTTCTTACGAGGTATAACTAATAAAAATGCAAAAAGTATTTTCAAACCAAGAATGTGAGATAAAAATACTCTGACTATTGTAACAGAGTAGTATCAAAGCAAATTTTGTAGCAAAAGAGTATATCTTATCATTCAGTATTTTTGAATATGCATTCACAGTTATGCGAAACAAGTTCATTTCATTCCAAAAACAGTGTCAGGGTTGCATTCGTTTAGGCAATTGTCATTTTGAACAAGACATTTTAACTTTTTAATAGAGTTTTAAATGACCAATGTTTTTATATAACATTTTTTTTCTTATTTTTGTAGATAAAATACACTGACACAATTTGGCAAGTAAAACTGAGGACATCCTATAGATATATATATTCTGTAATAGATAATAATTAGTAAAGACAGAAGCATCATTACAGAAACCCTAGAAATATTAACATTGGTGGAACATCTTAAAATTTACTAAGGTATCCTTCTCCTCTCAGAATACAGAGTTAAAGTAAAAACAGATAATTTCATTAAATTCGTTTATCTAATGTTATGCGATAATAAGCGAGAATATCTCGCGATATCGTCACTTTTTCTCTCTCCCGGGACAGAGATATAATATAACGAAACATAAATGCACAAATGAAATTGGACGAAAGTAATGTTTTATAATTTGATGTATAGAAACAGGGGGGAAGAACCGAGGCAATGAACAGTAGAGTTGATAACAATAATAATTGAAATTAAAGTTCATTCAAATAGAATGTCCTTATTTAAATAAATAGGTAGATAGATAGATTGTGCGTATAATAAATTATTACTTGGATAAATGTCAAAGGTCTTTGATTTGTATCAATAATTTGGTAAAGTTCCAAGAAGAAAGAGGTTCCAAAAAAGACTAAAAAAAAGGATAGACAAGAAAAATCCAAAAGAGGACAACCTCCGGATATTCGATAGAAATTTATTCAACTTACTCTCATGCGGACCTCGTAATCGGTATATCTTTTTTTACCGACGCCGTGTGTGATTGGATTAATCACGTCAATTTCGAGAAAATTTGCGGGCGCAGCGTAAGCGTCGTCCAATGTCTGTTTCTTAACGTTTAAACGCCTCGTTGCATCCACAGTAGTATCCGCCATTTCCTTACCGAAATAATTAATTAGATATTTAATGGCGAAACACTATCTACTATATTAATTCGATATTCGATAGTTGATAAGTTAACTCTTTTTCGATTGACAGTACACTCTCTACAAGCTGACACCACATTTGACACAATTCCTTCGTTCTCGTGTGTTATGGCCCTGAACGAAGAAAATTGAAGATTCCGAGAAGAAACTTGGTGTTTTAAAAAATGACTGCTTGCAGCGCTACTTCGACAATGGCGGCAGATCGGAGAACTAAGGATTTTAAATTCTTATGATACAAATTGTAAGATTACATTCAAATATTCAAATGATATTGAATTATAAAAAACTATTCAATTAACAATTAAATTTGTCACATATTTTAACAATAAAATATTTAAACGTATACATTTGATTTGACGGGTCGATAGATTATCAACCGAGTCAAGATACATTGTTTCCAGGAACATATGGCGCGTCTTTCAAAAATGATGATTCCCAAATCATCAGTGGATTATTCTAAAAAATGAAAAATAAAATAAATAAATTAATATAAAACAAAATAAAAAATAAATATATATATAGAAATTGTAACAATTAAAGAATTTTTTTTATTTCAATGAACGAGACCTAATTTTAACTATTAATACAATTCCTTCAGTTCGTAGTGTGCGTTAATATATATATATATGAAAGAGTTGTACATATTAAAAAACTATTTTTTGTGAACACGTAAGTACACAGTGTGTGTGTGTGTGTGTGTATGTATATAATAATTTAAACTACAAGATGAGATACATCGGCGGTGTAAACGGCAGGTGATAATCTTACGTCCTCAGAACGTGACATTGGTCGTTGACGTATATCACTATCTCCAGGCCATGCTCTTCCTGGACTACGCGGTAAGACGGTGCATCTGGCGACCGTATCGACTGCCAAGCTGACGGTCGTTGGATCGTTCAGGCCGTTGCTATCAATTCTTCGATGTGCAGCTATCGAAGCTCGAAGTGTTTTCCGCTTCTGCATAAATAAAATGAAGGGTTATATACAAATGAACTTATAAGTATCTTGTCGCAAAGGAAATCCTTCGAAAGGAAAATGTTGACTATTATGATCGATTTAACGTTACGTAAGAATACACGTAGGATCGTTCAAAGATATGTAATACACGTTTGCTGTATTTAATTTTAATATTTTCAATTATCTTTTTAATAGAGATTAAAAAAAATTTAATTAGTTATTTATGTGTATGGTTTTTTAGGATGATCCTACGTGTATCGTATTTCCTCGAGAGAAAGGATAAAAGTTTTATGAAATATGTATATGCATATATATATATATGTATATATGTATCTGCAACTAATTTTACCTACAACTACTTCTTCATAATAATTTCTACACACTGTCAGTTGTGCAACTCGCTAATTATCACGTAATTATTATTACTAGGGTTCGAAGGGAAGTCCCTCGGGAAATGGACATGCTTCAGCGCAGCTACCTCGTCGTCGCTTCCTGAGGATTACTGATAAACACACATTTCTGAAGAAACGATGGAAACATATCAAACAACGAAATCGGCTGCCGATCGCTGTTTACCTCGATCGTTCCTCGCCATTTATCGGCTGCGTGCCTTGCCAGTTCCATTTTCTTCTGTTTTTTAATTTGATGCTTCTTGTACGCCATCTCGATAATAATCAAACCGATACCACCGATGATACCGACCGCAACCACTATGAACACTCCTGCCATATTTTTCAATCCGAGAGTGTTCGGAGTTTTTTCAAATTGTTCGCATTGTTGTAGATTCCCTTGTAGTATCCAAAGATTATCGAGACTTTCCATGAAACCACCTAAAAACGATATATGAAGTGTTAATTATTACATTTGAAATTGTTATTTCTTTTCTTTGTTACTTTTTAAAGTCTTTTCTTTTTCACTACAATTCGTTAAAAAAAATATTCATGTTTCATTTATCTATTCTTATACTGATATCATAGCGTTGCTATTACTTTCGTGAAAGTCTAAAATTGCCAGAGTCACGGCATCCGCCCAGGGTGAACCTTTCTGTAAGCCAATTCCGTAACCAGAACGACCAAATAATTCACCGGCTGTTACTAACTCGCAATCTTGAGCTGCCTCAAATTCCAAACGTGAGCTATCCCAGATGAATGCCATTAATTTCCTAAAGATGGCACAAATGACTTATCATACTGTACGTATTTACACTCTTGCTTGGAAAATTATATTAAGGAAGGACAGGTGTAAATAATACCTACCCAATTTTGATATCACGTATAGCGTCTTCAGCTGTATCGTAATTATTAGCTTCCATCGTTCGATACATATTAGAGAGTTCAACTTGTCGCCTGAAATACATGTCCACTGCTGATCCCTTAACTGTAGCGCATGTTAAATTTTCCATAGTATTCCTGAGCTTTAATACAATACATATAAAATAATATTTATTGTTTTATTCTTTATCTGTGTGCGTATTCTTTTTTTTAGAAAATTTGGGCCTACTTACTCGGGCATCATTAATCCCAGTTAATTTAGTTTTAGGACGTTCCAAGACGAGGAAAGCAGCTAAATTAGCTGTATATGATGCCACAATGATCATAGCAAACCCTGCCCATACCATGCCCAATACTCGAGCTGAAAAACTTCTTGGAGTACCTAAATAATATAATACATTATAATTAAAATCTTGTTAGTAGCAATGGTAAACATTTTTTCTAATAGGTCGTTTAATTTATACGCAAAGTATGATGACAAGAGAAGACCATATTTACCTTCACCAATTCCACTATTTAATAATACTCCCCATGCAAACCAAACGGCACTCGAGAGATTGAGGGCATCTTCCTCGGTGCCGTCAGTATTAGCTAGTTTGAACCTCCCGAAAGGTGAAAACCGGTCGAGGAGGTACAGAACTAGCGCCACTACGTGCACCGAAACCATCACCAAGATCCAAAGGGTGTTACTAAATGGTTGTAAGAAAGATACCAATGTTGATGATCTAGATGGCTGGAATCAAACAAGATTTTATTAATTTAACATTCAGGTATCTTTTCTTGGGATGAGAGTTTCATTGGGAATTTATATTTGTCTCTGATACCTTTTTTTCCAAAATAGTTATTCCTTGATATTTGAATGGCTTGCTGAATTCAATGAATTCAGCACGTTCAGGATTAATCGTCAATGGTGCAACGATCATATCCGCTCGTTCGTTCACCAATTCTCCGATTAGTCCTGTCCATTCTTTTTTCCCTCCAACTGAAAAGTTAGATTTCCTTGTTTTTTGTCTATGTTAGATTAATAAATAAATTAAACAAATGAATGTATATTAGAGAATATTTGTTAGTAATATACCTGAATTATTTTTGATGACATAACTGCCAAATTGACCATCCGGGGATAGAGCAAGATTATAAGTGAAATTGATAGTCTTTGATAATTCTTTCAACAAATCAACGCAATAACCTTTGCAACAATACGTCTTTAAATCTATAAATTACAAGGTTTCATTTATTTCCATGATCATTAATTAATTTCACAGTTAAACGCAAGTACACACATCATTTGATTAAATTACTTACTCTCATTTTCATCAATATTGAAGTGAGGACATGCTATTTCATCAGGCAGGCAAGATTCACTCTCGCTTGCTTCACGTACGTAAACGAAAGGTTTCTCTTCAATTGTCAATACCTTTAAGTGCGTTGGTATCATTAAACCTTCGGGTTTATTTTTGGAAGGTCCAGGCCAAATGATACTCGACTCGTTAACTCTTAATTTCATTTTTGTTCCATTCTGATAAAATATCGAACAAATTTCATACAAATGTTGAGATTTTCGTTCATTTGATAGAATTTTAATAATAAATAATTTTGATCTTTATAATACTTACAGTTGGATAAAAGTATTGTCCAACTGAAACTTGTCGACCATTTTCATTAACGTTAATAATATCATATTCGGCAAAAATACGATCACCGTTGTCGTCAAAAGCAACTCTGCCAGTTTCTCCATTTGTTAAAACTTGTTGACGGATATAACTTAAATCATACAATTGTATATATTACGCAATTATAATATATCTAATTTACTAATGTTAAATTGTTAATATTAAAATTAAAAAAACACGATGACATACTCAAAAAGTTTCTTCCCAGTTTCCCATATCGTTCCGGAATCACCGCAATCCTTGGGAGCGCTCGTGATTTCTTCACTTTCGTTCATTTCTCGTAATGCAGAGACAAAAGCGTATCTGGAAAAGTAAGTATATACCCTCGACATCAGAAAAATTAATAATCGGATTACTTAAATATACTTATGCACACAACACAATTTCTACGGGACAACGTTTCCATGCAGTAACATCCATGAGATGAAATCAGAGTCCTTAGATCTGTAACCAACATCGATACATCAAAGTTTTCAAATTAATTGATGCTGGTTCTTAATCTCAGTGATACCTGTGTAATAATCAAGAAATATTGTTGTTAAGAAGTGCATTCTCAAGTTCTAAGGTCTCCTAAGTTTTTTTTTTCAAACTACGTACAACAAAAAGCTGAAATTACTTTCAATTCTTAACATACAGTGATTCTGTACGCGTATATATTTTTTTTTATAATATCGACGCAGTCTGATTACATGGTCACTGTGAATGATTGTTTAGACAAAAAGTTGTGTCGTATTCGCATCATCGATTAATTTTTCAATGGACAAAATAGATTTGTAAAGACAACGATCATGTAATCAGGACGTCGAAAAATATATACTTACGAGTACAGGATGACTACGTTGAGAAATGAGACAGTAGTTTCAAGTTTTGTATATGTAAGCAGTTTTTAAGAAAAAAAAAAAAGTTAGGCACCTTGTAGATGAAACGATGTGCAAGATAAATAAAAATTTGATATAAAAAAAAAAAAGAAAGAAAAAATATATATTACAATTATAAAGCTAGCAAAAGAGTAAAGAGTAAAGAGATAGTGACGAGAAGATGAAAATTGAAGAAGATAATCAGGGGAAGAAGAATTTCAGCAATCTCAATCCTTTCTTCATAGTTGATGGGATTCCAGGCGATCGTGGAATTGTGTGAAGTGGAAGTTTTACCTAATCGTGAAACTATGTACACAGTTTCATGCATATACATGTAGGAGTGCCTATCGTGTGAGATCGCAAAAGGACTGACAGGCTGTCCTTGATGTGAGCCTTCTCTGCACTCGCGTTAATTAATTTCAGTCCAAGAAGACCTTCTGGTGCGTTAGGTGCATCCAATGCTTGCTCGGTAACGATCCAAACGTATCCAGCTCCGGTCATGTTCAATGATGCTGCATCTCTGAAGATTATTTTTGCATCTGTCTTTCTGTAAGTTAAACAAAACGTATTCAAATGTTTATATTCGAAATATAAAATGATTCTAATTGATAAATTGATTTTACTTACGTGGCATACATCAGACAGACCCTGGCTTGTGCATTTTTCATTTCCATCAAATGTTCCATAAAACTATCAAGACCCGGCTCGAATTCTATTACGGATTCTACCTGTTTTTTTTTTTTTTATGGGCAGAAAATTATCGATATTAAAAAATGTTTAGAGGTAAATGAAAGGAGAGGACAGATGGACCTACGTGTACTTTTATTTCAACGTCGTCTTCTAAATTTTGCGAGGTCGTTTGAAAACGTCCTAGCAAAGCACGACCATCGGTGTCCGAACTATGGATGAATATGATCTTCATGTAGTTAAAATATTTCAACATTTCAACCCATACGTCAGCCTGATGAGAATATGGCGGGACGGTTCGTAAGAATGACACGTGTATGTTCTGAAAAAATATTTTGAAATATGTTTGTGTCCATTTGAAAGAATTTCTTGTACATTCTTATGAATACAAGTAATGTATGATCTAAAGATCGACGTACTTTATCGGAAAATGCTGAATCACGCGAAGAGATACCAATTACAGGTATATGATAAAAACCACTCGTATAGGAAACAGCAGCTGGTGACAAATCACCTGTTAGAGGATTGGACACAACTACTGCATAAACTTGTTGAGCGATTAAAGATTTACAAACGCTGAGAGCTGTTCTGATCGGATTGGAATCCATTTCGATGACAGTGTGCTGATAAGTTATACCTTTGTTCACGTATTGCGAATCAAAGTTCAAATGCTAAAATATAACAATTATATTATGCTTGTATCAATAAAACAAAGCCTTTGTTCAAATCAAACAATAATTTATAATGTCTCGATAAAATGTATGCTCACGGCTACGGTGTCAGCAAAGTAACTTTTGCTTTCGTTGTTTGAAAGGACACCACCGATCATGAACAAAGTTGGACTGTTGTGACTGGATGGTCTCACGGCATGACTATTGTCTTCGAAAAGCATCAGAAGACAAATCAATGCTATCATTTTACTAGATTTTCCCATTGCGTTAGGGTAAACAAAGTGAAGTCTAAAAAAAAAATACGAAATATGAAAGAAAATCTATGTTAAAATTTGCATGCCTTAAACGGATCTCTCTCGACCTACCTGACGTTTAATTAAATTCCGGTTTATTTCTTCTCTCTTTCAGGTAAGACAAAGAATTTAAACAAAAAAAAAAAAACCGAAAGAAATGAAAAAGAAAAATGTGACAAAATTAAACTAGATATAGAAAATATATTGTCGACACCGCGTTCATCCACCCACCAAAAAATGATTGAAAAATTTGACGAAACAAGGTAGACGAGTACTTGGGCACGGCCCAAGTTATAATGGCCCGAAGTACGAGGACAGAGCCAAGATCTGACCTCCTCTTGGGATACATTGATCCAGTTGGATGCTGCGCGCAAGTGAGAGATTCCATTTTCATCCCCCACTATCGTAAATTCAAAGATTTTGGCACCAACTTTCGAATTCGATCTCTACTTTGCACCTGTCCTTTCCCTTAGATTTGATAATATGTTGCAATATTGCGATAGAGATAAGGATTTGATCTACAATGATCGTATATTCTAGATATTATATAGACTTATCAGACTTGTTTAAAATATTGATCATATTTCAACGGAGGTAAACACTGGTACCACAAGTTACCACGTGTCTTCCATGTTTCAATAATAACAGCCTAATAACTCTACTTAAATGTGGATTCTTACATTGTCTAAGGGATAATAGATATAACCAAGGATAAAGTCAATGCAGTTACACGCAAACATAAATGATTTATTTTTTTTTTATTTTTCTTTTATCATATTACCTGCAACAACTGTGTCACACACAAATTTATTCGAAATTATATAAAACAAAGTGATATGGTGTATTAAAGGTATGTCAGGATGAATTTGCATAATCATTATGCAAATTTAGTATCGATTTATTAACATATTACAATAATAATAATAATATATATATCACACATTATTTTCATACTCGTAGATCAACAGGAATGAGAATGAATCCAAATCCAAACGAAATGAAAGAATCCCTTAGATGCAATCCTAAACCTAGATTGTTCTTGAAACATTGAAATTGATGAGGAGCAATGATCAAAGTTGTACAACACATGGCAATTGTGACAAGAACGAAAGAAAGAATGAAAGAAAGACACAATAAGGAAAATAGAGAAGGAGAAAGGGAATAAAAGAGAGAGAGAGAGAGACAAAGAGTGCGTCATTTCATCATTTTGTACCTGCTGCATATCGATCCCGTAGGTTTCCACCCCGTGGCGACCTCATGTGCGTGCGCAACCCCCTTCCACTCTGTATTTACCGAGGAACCGTCTGATCGTGACAGAAGGAACAGTGGAGAATAAGAAGTTAAATGGTGAGAGGCATTGCTACCGGGTTGGCAAGAAGGCAAGGCAAGGCAAGGCAAAGCAAGAGAAGACAAGAAAAGGCAACGTAACGTAGAACATTGCAAAGAAAAGGACTAAAATAGAGTGTGTGTTTAAAGAAAAGATTCCTTATTGTTTGTCACTATTGTACACCACTGTCAAGGGAAAGAAGAGAAAAAAATACGAATTAAAAAGAGAGAAAGAGAAAAAGAGAGAGAAAGAAAGAGATAGATAGATAGATAGATAGAGCTTATGACGTATACGAATACATAGATCAAGATATATAGACGATTGTTAGGTAACGTATGTAAAGCAAGCAAAAAAAGGAAGAGTGAGGGCGAATGAAAGAGAGAGAGAGAGAGAGAGAGCGAGAGAGGGTGAGAGGGTGAAGTAGAAAGAGAGAGAGTGAGAGTGCAAGGTAAAAGAAAAAAATAGATAAAGATAATTAGACAAGAGTCTTCTTCTCTTTTTGGTTGAAAACCTTAAAAAAATATTAAACATAAACGTAAACGCATAAGAGAGTTAGAGAGAACGAGAGGAAGAGAGAAAGAGAGAGAGAGAGAGAGAGAGAGAGTGAAAGAGAAAGAATACGTAACTCCAATGTATTACGGTTCTCGTTTCGTCGAAGACAGTAAAAAATGTCGTTGCCACGGGAATGGAGTTTCCAGGATTCGTGTAGATCGGTCGACCGTGCGACCTCGACGGTCGGCTGTGGCACAAGAGGAATTGGAACAGCGTCACAGGAGATGGTCAGTACGGCCGTCATCGACGAAAATATGAATCAACAAAATCAGCTGGGTTCCTTACTCTCGATTCATTCTGCACCCGTATTTGATTTAAGTACTGGCCTGCCATCCCCTACTATGAGGCCAGCCTCGTTGATGGTTACTACTGCTACCTCGACACCGGTCGTACCACCTCATTTACAAAGTCCACCGGAAACGATCGAGGACGAGGATAATGAAAATCTTTTAACTATATCAAGTTTAACAGCTAGACCATTGATAGCGAAATCCCGTGAACTTCGTTCCTCTAAACCCGTTCATTCGAAAATCCCGCCAACCAAGAAGAAGAAGAAACCTAAAAGGAGAGATACTAAAAAACTAAGGAATCCTGCTTATATACCTTTGGATGGTGGATACGGTTGGGTCGTCGTATTTGGTGCCTTTTTCGTCCAGTTTTGGGTCGCTGGCCTGGTCAAATCCTATGGCGTCCTCTATGTCGAAATCATGGAAACGTTCAAGGACTCATCAGCATCGGTTGCATCTTGGATACCAGCTATACTTTCTTGCCTTTGTCTCGCCTTGGGTGAGTCATGCATTCTGCAATTATTATTATTATTATTATTTCGTTTCACATATTTTTTTTCTATGAGTTCGTTCATTTTTCACACTACCAGTTGAAATTTTGCTAATTTTTCTTAGCAATTTTGAACGAACTATATTTTTTATAGATTATTTTTTAGTTTATTATATATAATATTAATTGTTACGTTCTCAGGGACGTTGATCTCCAATCTTATACAATGAAATGCATGTTTGCAAACCTACGCATAAAGTTTTGGAAAATATTTCCTTAGTCACGTTGATGCAGTTTATTAATAAAGAAAATCAATCGATGTAGAAACTTACATAGTTAACATTGATTCTTCATTTCAGCGCCTGTAACGAGTATACTGTGTCAAAAGTATAGCTGCCGTGCTGTCGTTTTCATCGGTGGATTGTTCTGTGCTTTAGGACTAACGACTAGTTATTTCGCCACCAGCTTGATACATCTCTTTTTTACATTTGGTATCTTGACTGGTGAGTCCTATCATTTTATATATTATTAGATGAGTTATACAATAATTACAAATACAAGGAATGATTTAAATCAGTTTTTTCGGACACTGCTATTACCTTTTCATAGTATTACCTATTCCATTTTAAAGCTTTTTAAATTTTTATGAGCCTAATCCAACTTTCGGAAACTAATTCTCAAATAAAATCTTGGACTAAACGGAACTTTGAATAAATGAAAATAAAAATCAATTTTTTCAGGGATCGGTGGTGGATTGTCGACAACTCCAGGCATCATAATCGTTTCTCAATACTTCGATAAGCATCGTGCTTTAGCAAACGGCATATGCGTATCGGGAACAGCAGCGGGAAGCTTTGTATTTCCGCTTTTAATCGAAACATTAGTCAAGAATTTTGGTTTTCACGGTACGATATTACTCTTGGGTGGATGTATGCTTCACGTATGCGTCAGTGCAACATTGTACAGGCCACTTGAGAATAATTATCTTCCGGATAATAATGAAACGAACGACAAAAGGGTGAAGTCTGATGAAAAAAAAAATGACAGCAATGGCGGACAGGAAGCAACGAAGCAACAGAAACTCGATCTTCTCTTTGCTAATGATGTGACAGCTCGTCACAATCTTCTCAACGAATTGTTCAGTCAGAATAGCGTGATAGCCGTCGAATTGACGGATAGTGATGAAGAGAAGGATGTGATGGGGGAAACTCTTATGATGAAACCAATTTCAAAAATACGAAGCTCGAGTATATTGCATAGCGTTGAAGATTTATCAACTGACTCAACGTGCGTTTACAAAGCGAGATCATCCCAGAGATCTCTTAGGTCTTCCGCCACAGTTGTATGTCCTGCACCGATATCCCAAACCGATGTTACGACGACTACTACGGAAGAACCCAAAACGATAATGCAAAAAGTTGCACGTTACATTGATCTATCCTTATTGAAGAATCCACAATTTTTAATGATGTGCTTTTCAGTCAGTCTAATGTCGACTGGAAGCCCATACATGCTATATTACTTGCCAGCGTATGTTCACGCGGGTGGTTATACGAAAGCAGAAGCTGGTTATCTCGTAGCTATCTCGGCTGCTCTCGATTTATGTGGCAGACTTGGATTAGGTTGGCTCTCTGATTTGCAACTTTTTGATCGACGAAAAGGATACATTGGAAGGTAATATTTTTTTAGTATTGGAACTAACTTCGCATGATTTTTCTTTTACTCTTGTTGGGTCATTGATTATTTCTTCTACTCTCTTTTTTTTTTTAGTTTTTTTCATTGAAAAAAAAAAGAAATTCTTTTTATTTAATTTAGTGATATTAATTGACAGTATTGAAATGAAACTTTCTTCTTAAATTTGTCTTTTATAGCGTCGTTGGTGCCGGTGTTGCGGTGTTAACAATTCCAATGGCTCATTCGTTTTACGTCTTGGCGTGTTCCGTTGGAATGTACGGATTATGCTTGGGGTGTTGGTTTCTTTTAGTTCCCGTCCTTCTTGCTGACCAATATGGAACTGATAAAATATCTTCGACTTATGGATTGGTCAGAATGTTTCAAAGTGTTGGCGCTATTTCTATACCACCTCTCGCAGGTACGATTTGTTATTTAAATTTGTATATTGATGATGACGATGACGCGTTAATCACCTATTCTCGTTTATTATTTTACTAATAATTTCAGGTTATTTACGTGATGTAACCGGAAGTTACACCGTATGTTTCCTGTGTATGGGTACATGTATGGTAATGGGAGGTTTGCCTCTTCTATTGGTATTTAATGAAGTACCAAAACCAACGAAGCTGCCTGTTAATAATACTGAAAATAACAATTGTCAAGGAGATACAAATGTGAAAGAATAAAATATTTTGCAAGTGTGTGATATTCCTTGAAGAAAAGAGAGAGAGAGAGAGAGATAGAGAGAGAAAGAGAGAGAGAAAAAGAGAGAGAGAGAAAGAGAGAGTAAACGTGTATTAGAAAAATAATAAATCGCAGCATTTTTGTCGCTAATATAATTTTTGTTTCTTATAAATTTGTTGATAGTTATATTGAGAATAATTCTTCATACAATGAAAAATAATTCATATATTCGACTTATTGAAATAAATTATCGTTATGTTCTGCATGATCAATCAAATCTCTTATGAATATAATTGTTGTTATTACTGTTACTTGTTCTTGTTACTTGTTGTTATTACTTTATTCTCTCGTTGATTATTATTATTATTATTATTATTATTATTATTATTTATGACGTAAACGATTAATTATATAGATATATATAAAAATTCGCGCACAAAATTAGAACTGAACACTAAGAATAATATGAAAATACGAGCGTATAGATCACATTCTTATTTTATTTTACTTCAATTTGCCTCTTTATAATTCGTTATTTACATATTATTTACATACACAATGTATAATATTATATTTTTAATTACATTATAAATGTGTGTATATATATATACATAAATATATATATCTATACATATATATATTTATATATATATATACATATATATAAAAAGGTACAAAATCTCTGTCATTAATAACAAACTGAAGCACGGTAATTACAGTAAGACTACCTTATTCTTTTATATTGCATAATTTCATATTTCATATTAATTATACCTATTTACATTTGTATGCTATTATTATTATTATTTTTTTTTTGTTCCATTTTGATCAATTGTCTTACAATAGTCTTATTGATTGTGGAAATATAAATATATCTGTTATCTAACTAAAAATTGATAGAAAGAATAATTGAATAAATAGAGATATTCTATTAGGAGCAAAAAATCACAGATAGAAAAAAAGAAAAAGAGGAAGAATATTTGTTTGTAAAAGTACAAATATGTATATACATATAGAGAATATTTCTTTATCGTAAATTATATTGCTTTGTGATGTCTCTTCGATATTATTCAAAAAATATTGAGAGAACATTCTTTAAAGAGTTAATCATCTTTAAAAAGAAAAGTATTTGTACAGTCAAAACACATCTTATAATCACCTAATTATATGTACAATCTCTGTTGAAGAGAAAAAGAAATTCATGATGGCTTCCACGCTACTACCCTCATTTTATTATTAAGCTCTTGTAAAATAAGAGAGCATGTTAATTGTTTTTCCGGTGATAAGCCACTAATTCCTTCCATTTCATCATCGTCATCACCCAATCCACTACTACTTCCAGTTTTACCTTTTCCTTTACCTTTTCTTTTTTTCTTTTTATTTAATTGACGACAATCAATATCACTGGAGGTATCTGCAGCACGTCTTATCTAAGAATACAAAGTTGTAAGAGATTTTCAATGTAACTTATAGATCATTCGTTAAGGATTTTATGTATAGTATTTCTTTTTTAAATGTCCTAATATTATTACATATTTAATTTAATATTCTATATAATCAAACCATACAAAATATTAATAGTAATGGTATAGAATACCTTTGAACTTTTCTTTGTTTGTTTGTCATATTCTAATGCGTCATAATAATTTGGCTTCTCACGTTTAATACGATTAGTTCTTCTAGTTTTCATAACTCCACTGTCTGGACTTGGTGGACTTTTGATAGAATTACGCCGTGCATTAAAAAATGAATGTCCACACGGGCACGCTTTACAAGCAACGGGTACCTAAAAATAAAATATTTTTAATTAACATTAGAACTATCGGTATAATATTATACCTCATATATATCTAAAATATTAATGAATAGAGAATTAATAATAAAATTCATAAATTTAATTATATGTATATAACAAGAAAAAAATTATAATGTGTTTGCCTAAGAAAAAGAATAATGAAATTTAACGTATAAATTTAAAAAAAAAAAAAAAGTCATTTTGATTTGTGTAAATCTAATATTAATATTAGACATCACTATAATTATTTTTAGAAAATTTAATTAAATAAACAATATATAAATAATTTAATTATTTATTTTATATTAATTTTATAAAATATATTTTAAAAAAAAACCAATTTTCTGATTGAATTATCACAATATGACTCATTCGTCCAGATAATAAATTAGATAAATTTATTTTTTTGTCATGTCTAATACATTTTATTAATTATAAAGAAAAATATTAAATTAAATTACCTGTTGTTCACATTTTGGACAACCTTTACTAATAGTTTTTGTTTTCGCCATAATTAATACACAAGCAAAATTTAAATCTAAATTCGTTCTATCTAAATTTACTATGAATATAACCCATTAATGGTTAAATGGTATGTGTTAAAAAATCATTATGGCAAACTTCTACCTATACACCGACTAAATTAATTTTATTTTAAGAACACCACACATATTATATGTACACTATCCATATAAATAATATTCTTTGTAGTTTCTATTTTGTCTGCTAGATGACAGTTCTCATATCACAAGAGTTAGACCAATCAACGTTTATCTATCTCCTATTTGCCTATATTGTTATTGTCATTGGTTGTGCAATGAATGAAAAAAAATTAAATACATATTATAAATAATAAAATAGAATAATTTTTTTCATTCGAATTAATTCACACCACTTATTAATAAAAGTCAGTAATTTTTTGTTAATCTACATTTTAATAACATATTTGCATATAAAATATAAATACATTGAAGATAAAATATACAAATGTAAATTGATCCAATGATGTGTGTGTGTGTGTGTATGTGTGTGTTGCACCACCTTATTGATAAGATATTATATTCATTATGCAGAAATAAATTTGAATTTGTAGAAACAAAATTAACATGAGATTTAATCATTCTAAGTAAATTTATATTTTCTGAATATTTTAAAGCAATGTTTATTTAATCTTGAAATAAGAATTAGAACATTGTTGACTGATTATTGTAGACTGACATCACAATGCAACTTATTAAAATCCACAATATTAAAACTGTTTTATCGGCAAGAACTACGATAGTGCCATCTTTTAGAAAAAAATATTAAGAATATTTATCACGGATACAGTTTGATCGGTAAATATCTAAGAAATACATGTACGGGACCATAAGAGGGCTATAGTAGATACTTAACCCGATGATCGCATATATACATGGTCTTTACGTGAGTCCTGTTTGCTTACATGTGACAAAAACATTAAGAATCTAAACAAATAAAAAGTTAAATTAATTTTTGATTATATTTTTATAAAATACATTATTAGTTTTTATCGTGTTTACTAAAATATATTTTAACAATGGTAAGTACGAAAGATTTTATTAACTTTAGGAAGTATCAAATTGTGAGTATAGGTTAAGTAAATTTCTATCTTTTATTTTGCTTATAAAATTAGCCGAAAGGAAAATCAAAGAAGTTTATTGACAAGAATAATTCGGTTACATTTCACTTGGTACATCGTTCACAAAAAGATCCACTGATAGCTGATGAAACAGCCCCACAAAGAGTACTTGTGCCAGCTGGTGAAACACAAGCTACCAAATTAGAAAAGAAACCAGTAGAAAAGAAAAAACGTATTGAAGAGCAGAAAAAATATGGGATATATTTTGATGATGATTATGATTATTTACAACATTTAAAAGATGTTAATACTTTGGACGTTGAATGGGTACACGTGGAGCCTGTAAATGTTAAAGAAAAGAAAAAGAGCGAAGATCATAAACTCAATTTACCATCATCTGTATTTGCTTCAAATGTTGAAGAGAAAGTTGGTTTGTTAAACAAAGCTGCACCAGTTACTGGACTTAGATTAGAAGTTGATCCAGATATAGCAGCTGCGTTGGATGATGATTTTGATTTTGATGATCCTGAAAATGAATTGGAAGACAATTTTATGGAATTGGCAAATGCTGGAGGTAGCGATGAAGAAGGCTTCGACGATGAAGAATATGAAAATGGTAAGTTTATAATGTGATACACATACAGTTACTTGTATTTTATTTACTGAACGTGTTATTGCATAAATTTGTAGATGAAGAATGTAGCGAAGAAGAAGAAGAAGATACGGATGTTTCATCTAATGATCAGATGGGGCTTTCTGATGAAGAAAAAGATGAAGTATGCAGTTTAAGTGGTCCGCAATATACTTTCAAGGATGAAGAAACGAAATCACGATTTACAGAATACTCTATGAGCAGTAGCGTAATGAGAAGAAATGAACAGCTAGCACTGTTAGATGAAAAGTTTGAACAAGTGTGTATCTCTTATAAATACTATATTAACATTATAAAAATAATATATTAATAATTTTAATTTTGTCTTTTTTCTTAGATGTACAGTGTATATGATGATAATGAAATTGGTGCTTTAGATTGGGATGAAATAGAAGGACATGTGGCACCTGATTCAAATATGGTTTTAGAATGCGCCAAAGAATTCGAACAATTACAAAAAGAAGATGTAAATATTAAATAACTTTGATGTATAAATTATTTGAATAGATATTTCATTATTATATAATTTTTATTTTTAGGCGGAAAACATAACTGATCTAATGCGAGAGAGGATGAAAATTATGGAACAATGTTCCAGTTCTGACGAAGATGATATGGAAAAGTTAGTTGTTGAAGCTAGAGAAACAGAAAAGTGGGATTGTGAAAGTATTCTAAGCACATACAGTAATATTTATAATCATCCTAAACTTATTGTAGAACAAAAGGTAAATCATTCAAAAATATTGTCTACTGTGATTATGCAATTTGAATAAGTTCTTGGATACTAACAAATTTTATCTTCACATCTAGAATATTCCAAACAAAATAAAAGTTCATGCTAGAACTGGTATACCAAAAGATGTATTGGGTTGCCCAGCAGGAAAATTAACTTCAAAAGCATTGGCACAATTTAATTTGCAAAATAATGCTACAGAATCGAAAGGTCCGCATTCTGTAGCCGATACAATGAAATCTACTTTAAGTATTTTAAGTGTTAGACCAAAGGATGAAACTCCTGAAGAAAGAAAAGAAAGGAAAAAAGCATTAAAAGAGTACAGGAAGGTAAAGTATCCTTCGTGCATTTCTAAATATGCTAATGTATAACATTTTTTCATTTAATACTCGAAATTTTAGGAAAGAAGAATAGAACGCAAGATCAACAAAGATGCATTCAAGGAAGAAAAGAAACGACAAGAGAAGATATTGTTAAATGTGAAACAAAATGTTCAAAGTAGATTATCATATAAATAATTTAAATGTAGTAACATTAATTATATTTGTGTTATATTTATATTTTATAAAAAATAAAAAAAAAAAAGAATAAAATTTTTAATAATAATAATAATAATAAATTTTTTTATATATTGGAAATAATAGAAAATTTAAGAAAAGCAATGAAGTTCCTGTTCTAATTCGCTTTGAAAAAATTCTGTTATTAATTTCTACATAATTGATCTATGTTTTACGTAATATCTACATTGTATATTGAAATTATTGGATAAAGTGTGTGGGGGAATAACCACGTGAGAGCACGAGGTAGAGCGCCATCGCTTAAGGCGGGGCAGAAAACGGAAGCTCAGAAGTCATATGATCGATTTGTAATTCCTTGTGGCACATCGTTGTTCACTTCATTCGTTGTAAAAATGGCTAGCCAGACGCAGGGTATTCAACAACTTTTAGCAGCTGAAAAACGTGCTGCAGAAAAGGTTGCAGAAGCAAGAAAACGTGAGTTTATTTCTAATAATTGTGACACATTATCCATGGCAAAGATTGTCCAAAACAGATTAATGTCAAACTCTTGTTAATTATTTTGTCATTAGGTGTAACACCCTTTTTAGCTAAAAATGATATTGTGTGTGATATTGTATTTATATAAATAATGATGTAAATATATCTTTATAAATGTATGATACAGATTTGCAACTCAACGTTATGGGATAATATGATGTACAATATCATGTTGGTATAGGTTTATTAAGATCTATTAAGATTTCTCTAATAAAAATTAAAGAAATTGTATTTCTTGATAAGGAATCCTTAACTATGTTTGTATTGTATTTAAAGATCCAAGTCTTTAATGACTTTTTGCTGAATTTTTGGTTGATATAGTTTTCAGATGACATTTTATTGTCACTTTTTGCTATGATAATGTTTCAATTTTATGAATATTTATTTAATCGTTTAATTATTAACATATATACATATATACATGTTAATAATATATGTTTTAAAGAAATATGATTTTAAATATGAATGGAAAAGAAATATATTTATAGAATTTGTATTTATGTATTATAGGTAAGGCTAGTAGGTTAAAGAAAGCTAAGGAAGAAGCTCAAGATGAAATTGAAAAGTATAGGATGGAACGCGAAAAACAATTTCGTCGATTTGAAGCCAAGGTGAATATCTTTAAACATTTTCAAAGTTACATTATTACCTTTTAAAATGAAATTAAATTACACGTTTAAAATATGTATTATAAAGTAATTAAATGAAAAATACAGCTGTGGATAATAACTATATATATTTCTATAGCATATGGGTTCAAAAGAAGATGTAGCTGCACGTATTGAAGCTGATACTCGAGTAAAGATAGAAGAAATGAATAAAGCCGTCTCTGTGCACAAAGATAAAGTACGTATACCTTTTTATTTATTTAATTTAACTGATATTCTTTTTAAAAACAATATATATTTATTATATTTAATTAGGTAATGTATAAAATCTTGGAGTTGGTGTATGACATTAAACCACAATTGCACAAGAATTTTATCGCTGAATAATAAACTTTAAGGAATGTATTCAACGATTATAAATATTACATTTTATGCTATACATGTACATTAAATATTCTTTGCTATATCATATTTTAAAATATATTTATCACCGTTATGTCATACGTTGATCAGAAAATATCTATATACTGTTTAGTCATAGACGGTGGTATTTAAATTCTTAGAGTCTTTTCCGCAATTGTTACACGACAATAAATGTAACTGTAACTATATAATTATTGAAGCTTCAACCACCAACATATATAAATAAATTATATATATATATACAATCACAGAAATAGCACAGTAATAAGAATGGTATAAGTTTAGGTAAAGAAACATCTACCTGTCGTTTCAAGGCCTAGAGACGACAGATAGTGGCGAATACGAATGTTTTATTATTACTGTTTAAGGTGGTGGTAACAAATTGTATAATGTTAATGTATATTGGTAGATGTCATTCCATGATCTGTAACATCGAGGATAAACATAATATATTTATGTTGTCTACAAACTCACCAGGTTTACGAACAAGCTCCCAATTCAACGTAAATCTTGTGAATATGTAGAAACATAATATATTTCTTAAACATTATATGCTTTGTTAAGTTTAATGATAGGGGTAAGCTTGCCTCGTGTGTATACCCTGTTTCTGTAAGATGGTTGATTGTCTGTACAGTATTAATGTTCAAAATAAAAAAAGAAACAAAAAACAAGAACGGTAACACCATAATTTTCAATTGATTATATTTTATATCATAATATAAATTGTACGTTTAATACGTTACTAGAATATCTGCATTATGCGTGGAAACATTATTGAGCATTCACTTTCATTTTATTTTAGGTTAGTTTACACAAATTAATCTTTATTTTCGTGGTTGCATAATTGAGAAACGCGTGACCCTGAAAAATGTAAATACATGCTCTGTAACATTTTGATATACCCGCTGCATTTGGAGCATGCGTGAAATAAACCATGCATATGAGAGAAAAAATGTCGACATTTGGTTCATGATGTAGTTTTTTAATTCGTGAGAAAAATAGATTTTTTTAAAATAAATTAATATAAAACATTAATCGAATAAATATTGTAAATTCGAATTTCTATCAAACTTAAAATTTATGAGGCGTGATTAAAAACAGTAAATTTATCAAATTAGAGATAAGCCAGAAGATGTCAGCTTAGTAGATGCATGCGATTGGTATGCGCACGCATCTCGTTTCTTTGGTGCGCATGAAGTTACTCGGTGTGATGGTGGGGGAATCAGCTGTGCAGGTACGCGAGCGTATCCCCGCTCCACCGCGCGGCAGTCCTCCGGCGGCCGACGCGTTGTAGATACGTTAGTGCGTTTAGGGTGCAAGTAGCGCCACTCGATACTTGCCGGAAGGTGATTCGATTTTGCGAACTAATCCACAGCAAGTATAACGGAGGCTCAGTCTGTCATTCCGCGCCGAGAAATGGAAGACGACGAGACGCTTTCGTTTGGTGGAAATGTGAGCACGTTGCCGACCTACGAGAAGGTTGTCGTCGCGTGCGCATACGCGGTGACAGATGTGCGGGTAGGAGCATTTTAAAAAAAATCTCTGGTTATGACAACGGACGCGACACCGTCCTATTACAATCAACAAAGTCTTCGGATTGAGAACGAGAACAAGCCGAGGGAGGAGAGCTCTACTGTTTATTTGTCATCATCATAAGACGCTCCCTACGACTGTTCTCTGTCAAGGGCATCTTACATCGAGTGTTGTTTATTTTTTCCTTTAATCCTTTATGTATCCTATTCTTCCTTTTTTCCTTTCTCTACTAGTGTCACGGGATTCGTAACGAAAGACCTGTTCTCTGTCTCCTCTACGAAGTAGAAGCTGTCTGGGTGGCAAGAGAAGAAGAAATATGTGGTGCCTTGTGAGCCAGGCTAATTCCGTCATCCTCGAGGTTCAGGTCGACCCCAAAGCCATCGGACAGGAATGCCTCGAAAAGGTGAGTCATTTATATCCTTATTTTTTTTCATTTTTTACCTTACTTTACTTTTCTTTCCAGTTTCATTTTTATTCCTATCTCTCTTTTGTGTTATTTATTATGCAATTTTAATATGAATTTTTTTAATCTACGAAAATGCATTGCAAAGTGTCGAAAAACGCGCGGTTTACTGACTCTTCTGTTGCGCATTCGTGATTGGTCCGTGGAATTGTTGCATTTGAATTGACGAATAGGAAGCTTTCGTCTTGTATCACATTTTGTTTTTTAAATTTAAATTGAGAAACATTCTTCGCGAGGAGAAACAAAGCCAGGTAAAATACAAAGAGATAATCTGCACCTTTGTTCTTTAGTAATCATCGATATCTTTTTATCTTCCTACTTTATATCTTTTCTACGTGATAAGTTTGAAAATATAATTCTTTTATTCTTTTAGTTTTACCACGTTGTTTTACATTAGTAAATCGAACTGAACATAGTTTTCATTATAGTTTCTCATCGATATAATTATTGTCTAACCTTGACTCGCTTCGTTAAATCGATAATGTTTATTTTGTCATTCGCATCACATAGATCGATATTAGATATTCAATTATAATAGAATTTACTTTATTAATATATTATTGATAAGATGATATATTATGACGAAAGATTATCAAAATAATATTTAAAAAATAAAACAATTTTATTGACTATTTATAAACGTTGTGAGAATACCTTAAAGTAACTAACATAAAACTAGTTGAAACTGAAAACTTCGTGAGCGTAATACTGATGTGAAAGCTGCCTTATGGTTTTACGTTCTAACTCACGTGCGCAACAGATGTCCCAAAAGCATTCGTTTGTATAGTAAATTGATACGAAATTGAACATTGTACATATAAACCCAGACATCTTAATTATTAATATTTTACTTTTAAACTTACGATGTAAAATAGTTATTAAACGAAGAAGTACGAAGGATCGATATATAATTTTGAATTGAACGGTAACGTTAATTATTATGATGTATTTTGAATATTTTCATTTAAATAACGATCGACAGGTGTAGTGGAAATAAAATGATAAATTTATTCGTGGTTGTTTCGAGTTGGTAAAATTACCGAAGTGCATGTAGCCGATCTTTAAAATTAGAACGAGCGAGTAGCGTCAATTTCGTCTTGCGCAATCTTTCTCATTGTTAGTCTATTCTATTCTATTCTATTCTATTCTTCATCCTCTTCAACCTCCTCTTCTTCGTGTCTACAAACACGTTGTATCTCGAAAGAGAATGTTCAAATATAAGCTTTCCCTCCTTTCTTCTTTCGATCATTTTAACGTAGATTTTTACGATATCAAAATAGGTCAAACGAAAGGATTGAAGTACGAGCAGCTCGTGTCGATATCTTGAGGGTCGTAGTATCGAAAAAGGGACTTAACGGAAGCGTGGTTCAAACTACTTACTCGCGTAGGTAATTGGAAAATGTAACTAGTACATGATTCTGCTTTTAATGATATCTAATCTATTTTTCTATTTTAAAAAGAACAACTTTTGGTAGAAATAACGTTTATTTCGTAGGAGAATGAAAACATTTTATTTAGATTGACGTTTTGGTTCCTACTCCTCCTCCTCCTCCTTCTTTTTGTCTTCTTATAAAACTGATTTAATGAATTTTCTTAAAATTTTTCATTAATCGTTAGTTTGACTATTAATCGTATTTTTTTTATTATCGAACATCTTTAAGTAATATCGTTCAGCAGATTATTTTCGTGTAACAAATCACAGGTAAGATACGTGTGTCTATACCAGAGATTGGTATTATAAGTTTTTTTTTCCTTGTCACGACTCAAATCGAAATAGTCGAAAATAATTTCGCGCGTGATTCGATTTCGATGATTTAACGATGTCTCCGGAACTATCCAATCTGTCGGAAAGGATTAACTTCATGAAAATATAGAACACCTGTACGTTCCTGATCGCAAACTTACTCGAGATCACCACCAGTGTGACCTCGAAATTTTTTTATTATCGAACAAAAAAATTTCTCTATATTATGATCTCGATTTTATTCATAATTCGATGTATTTCGATGTTTTCTCATTTACTGAAATAACTGATGTGAAATTAATTTTCTTTTTTATTTTGTTTTGTTTTGTTATATCTTCTCCCATAATTTCGAGCCGTATCCTTATACTTTCGTGTTTATTATCGGAGATTATGTTTTATCGTGATATTTTCGTTTGCAAACGATGATTAATGGTAGAAGAATCTATGGTACACATTTATAATGTTTATCGAGCTTATTAATTATTAATGAGATGAGCGAAAAGGGAACAATATGTTTTGTAGTAAATATTTACGACGTCAATTATGCACTTTAATTAGAAAATTTTATCGTTTAATATTGTTAGTTATTTCTTTTATACGATCAACAAAACAGATCTTATGTTAAAATATTTCAAATGTGCTACAATTGGCTATAATCGTACGAAATATATTTGTTCATCGTTTTTAAATGTTATTGTAGTTTTTTAAACACGAATGAGTCATACCTATATTAGGCTTAAAGTTTGATAATTAAATAAAAGAGAACATAAAGATTTATTATGTATAATTATCTTTAATTATTTTCATGGTCTATAATATTATATTTTAAATAATTATTCAGGAAATATTTTGGGTCAACTTTTTCTGTCTATGACAATTTTATCAATAATGTAACTTAAAATAATATGTTTTTTATTTTGTCGATTGTAAATAATGTTTAGCTCCGATATTTTTCAACCTTCCGTTGACAGATAATTTCGTTTAACGAGTCATACTTTTAAAATTCATAGAAAAAAAAAATATATATATTGAGGAAATGTTTCACGTTGAACAACATTTTTTGTCTCGTTATCATCGTTAAACATCATTATCATATATTTTTCCTTTTACTATTCGTAGATCATTCTTTTTTTTATTATATTCACGAAAGTAATTCAGTTTCTCGAATTGATGGTAGTTATAATCAGAGTTATCTACTTAGACGCGCACGCGATTTATTTGCAAGAAAAAGGATAATCCAACGATTCTAAGATACGCTCGCGTGAGTTTGCATGATGTATACTGGAACCTATAACTATGACAAAGGAGTAGGTTCGAGCCAACGTTGAATATGGCACGAACTTCTTTGATATAATAACGATATTCGCCATTATTTTATCGGCCAATCATAATCACGATCATTCTTTTTATTTCACGTAGAAACTTGGAACAAAGGAAAGTAACAAAAAGTTATCTTTATTACCGATTTGATCAATTCATTTCTTTTTTTTTTTTTTTTTTTAAAGTAGATAACGTAAAACGTGTACGATTACTTTTCCATTTTATTTTATCTCACGAATTAAATCGTTGATCAAATTATTTTTTTTTTTGTTGCAAAATCTTATCCCTTTCTTAGATCATTTTAATGATTTTCCGACAAATCCAGGTTGTATCTTCTTTCACGTACAAAGCGAGTTACGATCGTAGAATAATTTCAAACGATGTGCGGATAGTTTTGCAAGTTTCCCCTACTCCTCTTCTCTTCTCTCCTTCTCTCTCTCTTTATCTCTTTATCTCTCTCGTCTGAAATTCTCGTCAAGCTTGGCCACGACGAGGTGTCGCGAAAATTAGGTCGAAATTGGTCGGAATTCAATCTCGGAATTCAATTTGCCTTGCCTTTGTGTTCCGGGACCAATGCGATCAACGCGAAGCAGTCGTTTTCTAGATCTAATTTGCGTTTACAGATATCATGCTTCGGTCTGATGCTCAGTTACGTTAAAGTAAGAAAGAGAGAAAATAAGAATGTGAGAAAGAGATAAAAAGTAAGTGCTAGAGGGAAGAAATAGTGGAACGTTTTCACGTACGATATGATCGGCAGGGGGTAGTTTCGTAGTAGAAGAAAAATAATGATTTTATTTTAGTCGAGTATATCGATTCGAATAAATTCGATGGCGTTCTATCGAGAATTAAATCTCGAAAAAAAGTAAATAACGCGAGTTCATTTTTCTTCGTGTAAAAATTGAATTTTTGTCAATTTTTAAACATCGTTCGATCGTTTGATAAAAAGATTACGAGTAACTTTAAAAATAGATTTTAAATATATTATTATACACACATTATTAATATTACACATATATACATTTATTATTATTATTACACACATACACAATTATTTATTACACACACATACACATTCACAATAGATGCACAAAATTCTATCGACGTTTGTTCTTTTTTTTTTTTTTTTGGTAAAAAACTTATGTGAAATATGAATATTTCATTAAGAACATTTATTTTATCGATTGGAAAATTACGTCAAGAAATAAATTAAAATACGGTTATCTTGTATGAACGAGTGACAAATGACTTTTATAGTCTGTCAAGTGATAGTTATAATCGATTTATTTCAATTTTACAATATATTTTGGTTTATCTTTCTTTCAGATATTCTAATAATTTGACTTGTTAAAATTTTTCATGTAAAACAGAACATTACAATTTTGTTTTATGTTAAGTATTTAAAAATGTCACAGTATCGGTATATTTTACATATGATTTTGTGTTTTAGAATAATCGTGTTCAATTTTGTTAATCAACGCGTAACTAAAAAATATGTTCAATGCAATTGTTCATTAAATGTTTGTATACTTTTTAGTTGTAATTAAAACGCATTGATTGCAAATTGAAAATTTGTAATAATTTATACAGTTTGTAAAATGTAATGATAAATAAACGAGGTATATAAATGAGAAACGGTCATTTAATCTCAGTCGAACGAAGGAATCCACTTGGTCGGTTTATTTGCTCTGTTTTTGACTGATCGGACAGTTTACGTCAGTTTCACGTGCTTCAAGAACCAAAGTCCTCTTCGAATTTACGTTGGAACGAATTCGAATAGTCGTTTATACGGTAAAGTTTACGCGAAACTCTTGCCAGAGGCATTCTGACTAAAATGTGTGTGATCGTTTTCGTTCAATATAGTATCGAAGAATTTTTA